ACACAACAAACAGGAGGGCAGTGAGGTGGGCTGCTAAACAGTTTAAGTTCTTAAATGTTGAAGAAAGCTAAACAGCAGCAAAGAGAACTGTACCTTTTCAAAGACACATATAAATGAAGTGATTAGGTTTTTAGCAAACACTGCAAGGTATTCTCCTCCAACATTCTTCACTATGGAATCCACTAAGTACAAAACTGGAAGCTTCTCGGCAGACGGGGCCTGGAGCAATAAGAGAACTCGACAAGTTTAGAACACAACAGGGGTTAAAAGCAACATTTCAGAACAAATGCTCAAAACACAAGAAAACAGGATAAACAGGGCTCAACGCCCTCCCCATCACCACCCACTCTGTGAAAAATCAAAATGTGCAAAAATCAAAAAAAAGTTTAAGCCAGGTGAAGCAAAGTTTAGGAAACGAGACATCCTAAAAAAGGAGAACAGTCCAGAGTGACTCAAAGTTTTCTTCTGTCTGGATCAAAACAAAATAGTCCATAAGTCGGTCGCAGCCAGCTGAAGGTTTCACAACAGCTTTGATAGATCCAAAAACGTGCAGCAAACTCTTCCATTGTCACTCCAGTGTGCACACGAACGACCCCTCAGAAACAAGAGAAAGAAACGTCCATGGAGATAAAAAAAAAAAACAATAATTAAAAACATGGAGTCCAGTCCTCTGGAACTTTTTTTTTTTTTTTTTTTACCTCCAAAGAGGGCTCATCTCCTGAAACCACTCTTTGTACTTTACCCAGCCACTTTGAATCGTTACACCCTGCGAGTTTCATTCACTCACACCGTTTTTAAGTTTGACCCCTGAGAGGTTTAAGTCTCCTCAATGGTTAAAGAAACACATGATGACCCGTTTAAGCTGCTGCGTATTAACTTTACTGTTAGTTCTAACTGAGCAGCATCAGTTATACACACTACGTTTAATCCCAACGGGCCAAGCCGGACTCAGCCGTGTGGCTCAGAGTCAACCACAGGCATACCAATAAATTACACTGGGAAATAAAAAATGACAAAAAGCACAGTTCACATTTTTTATTATAACATTTTAACCATTCAATGACATTTCAGTAAATCAAGATTCACTAGTGAATGAATGCAGAGAAACTGAGCTTCGATCTGATGAGGTAAACACGGAGCACAGAGAGGCACGGCGCTGGTCTATAGAAGGTTGAGTACAGGGGCGGGGTCTAAAGAGCCCCCCCAGCTCTCCTCTATGTTTAACAACATCTACCTGGCAAAGTTTATTAACAGAAGAAGGAAATCAAACATCTACACTGTGTGGTGTCTATCAGCAGAGAGAAAGAGGACGACCTCGACGTACAAAAAGCTCCGATTATTAAAGTGAGGGCAGCGAGGTCACGCTTTACTTCAACGCCACAACTACTCAAACTCGTCTATTACTTCACTTTAAGTCTTTTTTCTTAACTGTCTCAGTTGATGTTTTATTGAAACCGTCACCGCAGCATAACAGTTACGTCGTGTGCGCGTCTGTTCACAGTAAGTCAGAAAACACTTCCTGCCGACCACTTCATTAACCCTCATATTTCTCCACACCGCTTCTTCCTTTTAATCGTTTAAAAGTTTTTTCTGATTTGCAAAGGTGAAAGGCGCCTCCTTTGGAATACAATGGTATTACATGAGACCGCTGCTATATAGTAAACAAAACAGATAGTTAGTTAATACATTTTAATCAACTAAATTCTTAACTGTGGTTAATCATTAACATCCTACTTCACACCCAAACTATGAAACGTCTGACTCAACACAACATTTTTTTAAACGCCTGTTTCCAGTGATTCTCTGGTTGTCCAACAGTCTGATCCTCCACTTTATTAAAAAGGAAATACAATCATTATTCTTACTATTTTCAACTTGCTGTCTGAGGTTACATTCATTAATGAGCACTGATGTGTTTATATCTGCTTCATAAAGTCATTACTATGTTTTATAATACATTCATCAGTTACTAAGATCAGATGATCTTTAAAGTATCGTGAGAGGAAAAGTGACAAACCGGTTTCTTATTTAACAACGTGTTTGTGTTTCCCTCTCCTACAGACCTCAGTCAGTTCCAATAGTTAGTGTATTTCAGGAACCACACTGAACAGCCCTTTAACATTTAAATACGACGATTTTTTAGCAAAAATAATTCACGATGTCACATTTTGTAATACTTAAATCCTTTTTGATAACACATATCTTATAACAGTACATTTTATGTTTGATGCTCAGTAGTATCTAATAGAACTGTCTTTTTTAATATAAAAACTCGTTCGGGTAAATTCGGTTGTCGAAGTATCGCGATTATTCGTCTTTTCTTAAAGTCTCGTAAACGAAGTTTACATTTTGGTTTCCTGACAACTCTTTTGATTTAACACAAACTAACTGAGTTTAAACGATGTATGTTGATTATAAAGCGCCGCTGTTTTTAGTTGCTAACCACAACAAAAGCTGAACGTAACGTAGCTAAGGGACATGTGTAACACAGCACTGGGCGCCATATTGAGCTAACAGCTAGCTTAGCCTGCTGGGCCTTCTAACGTACACGGACAGAAACAGCTGGAATTTAAGTATTTCTATATTTATAAAAACCTTGCTTATTTGCGCTTCAATAATTGCGACGATATCCTTGGCGAAGTGGAGGTTCTCCTCGGCCAGGATGGTCAGCATGTTGATGTGCGGCTTGCTGTTGAACGTCAGGTCTTCCAGAGAGGACTGGTACTCTCGGCAGGCGTCGTCCCTCGCCGCGCTGTCGTCCATCTTTGAGCGGAGAGACCCGGGTAAACCTAGGCGACTCTTATCGTTGACGTGGCCATTGATTAGCAGGCAGTCCATGAACTCATGTAGCTCAATGTTCCGCTCTGACTAAGAGAAAAGTATCGCCGGATTTGTGCTGAATTTCTGCCGCTTGTCGTCTTTTCTGGTCACTTCGGAGACATCAAGATGGCGCCTCTAACTGACGGCCGCATACGTCACGAGAAAATGTCTTTAGACTCTGATTGGCTTGTATCAGCCCGCCCTCATCGGGTACTTAGTTTTGATTGGTTAGATTAAATAACAGTCACATAAACGAACCAATCGTATTAACGCAATGTGATCTTATTGTTACATAACGACGGACATGCAGATGTTTCACAACATAATAACAGCACGAGGCGCAAACATGGCGTCTGAATGTTTTTCGTCAATGTTTGGATTTAAATGAATATTATTTTAACGATTGATATTATTTACATTTCATGATTATTACAATACACATTATACCACAGACTTGCTGTGATCAGTGTGCAGCTACATGACATTATTAGACTTTATTCCTTTTCACAGCCTTGTAGGCTATCTTCTATCAAACACCTCAAGTGTGATATTAATTTATTAAAAAGTTAAAAGATCATAATTCACCCCAACATTTTTCATTTATGGTTCAAACCTCAATTTTATTAGTCACTGACACCAGAATGAAGTTGTTAGGTCATCATGAGAGGCGTAGGGGTCCAAATGTTTCTGTCAGTCGACCTGGAAACAAATCATTTATATTTACACCGACTGAGTACTGTACGCTTGTTCTTCGGCTCGCTGAATTGCTCCTTTAGTCTGTATCATACTGAGCTTTGTAGATTCAGATTTCATCAAGAGGTCAAAGTTCACTGTGAAACATTCAAACTGTAAAATACAACAGTTCACATAGTTAAGAACACCTGTGTGTGTAACTACGAGTTACATGTGGACAGACAATTCACCTTTACTCTTTCATGTAAAATCAAAAACAGAAAATGAGCCGTGTTTCCTGGTTAATTCTGTCAGCTCGCAGCTCATTGGTCGATTTATCAGACCTCACAAACATCCCACCTTATGGATATAAATAAATGTGTCTGACACGTTCTGATCACTGATTGGACCGTTCTGCTTGTGATGTCTAAAATGGTGAAAGAAAGTTTAGAAGTTATGAAGAACTTTTGAAAGGATTTAGAAACCAGAAACGTGTAACGTTCAGCATAATCTGATATTTTAATAATCATCTAAATTCATGACCACAGCGTGATGTCACTTTGGCCCCCCGACAGTTTCCTTTAAAAAAAACACAAACATAAATGACATGACTGAATCAAACAGGAGTGACGCTTTCTGACAAACACAGAGGTTAAAAAAAAAAGTTTCACGTGTCAGATTTTTACGCGAGAAAGAATCATCACACGTGTCTGACACTCAGAGTCTGTTTCATCGTTTTCTTTCTGCTCCCACAGAAACACAAAAAGACGTCTGGAGACAGAGGTGGAGCTGCAGGTGGAGACGGATCTCTTCAACTCTCTGAATGAGAGTCTTTTATTCGTCATCTTGTTTCCCTCTCCGTCCGTGTCTCTGCTCTGCTCAGACAGAACATGGCTCGTTTTTTGTTTTTTTTTAAACAGGGTTTGGTTCTGGACCTGGTTTAGTGTGGTTTGGTTCTGGTCCCGGGTGAGGCCTTGTTAAAACAAGCAGGTGTCAGTTCTCAGAGGACACAAAGGTCAGAGGTCAGGAGTTTTTCTGTGGACCAAACTGAGTTCATGAAACAGTGTCGATGCAGGAATGATGAGTCAGAGGAGAGGAGCGATCTGATTGGCTGTCAGAGGAGAGTCTGTTTTTATTCATCAGCACAGATATTTCACAGCAGGGTCGTCAACATACTAGAGTTTTACACATCGCTCCTCTCCAGCTCCAAATATGGTCTCTTCTGTTTCTAAAACTAAAGGTGTGGGCGGGGCTAAGTGTGATTGACAGGTAAAAACCACAAGGGCCTTAAATGTAATTTTTTTTCAGCATTTATATATTTAGGGATACCTCCTGATACAATAACAATAAGTACAAATATGGACAATTTAAGTTGATTTGACAAAAATAATTATAGCTGTATTTTTAATTTAACCAACAGAGGGCGCTCTCTGCTCTTGGCTTCCCTCGTTTGATGTCGGACATCGACTACACAGCCTCAATGAGGACAGTATTTCTGATATTAAGAAAAATAAGCTTAATAATAAAAAGTAATAATTCATAAATCAGCCTCATGTTTTTATAAAAGTTTAAATAAATGGAAAATAAAATCGTTTCATCTCTACTTATATTTTTTTCGTTTGTTGTTCGCTAAAAATGTATATTCAGTCGTTTTAACCCCTCCCCCTTTCAAGCTCCTCCCTCTCTTTCATATATGGTCAAATCTGGCTCCAGAAACATTGAACAAGATGGCGACGGCCAAAATACCAACTGTTGAGATTCGAAGTCAACAAACTGACATGTGACATCAAAATAGTCCCGCCCACTTCCTTTACACAGTCTATGATGAAACGTTAACGCATTACATAACAGGTGTCCTGACCCTGTGAGCCCCTGAGTCTGTGCCTGGTGGACCCCTCCAGTATTCAGTCCATACAGACACAACATGAAACAATAACAGAAAACTCCCCGCTGACCTCAGATCTGCAGGCGGCTCTGACGGCTTAACGTCTTTATAATTATTGTACGTAAAGTACAGGACTGAAGTTCAACAGAAACACACTCCTCCTCCTCCTCCTCCTCCGTCCCCCTGTCTCCTCCTCCCGGTCTCAGGCGTCCGAGTCGTCGCTGCTGTCTCGGCTGATCTCAATCTGCAGCGATGGCAGGTTGTCCAGCCGGCTCTTCTTCAGCTTGTGCGTCTGCTGCTCCTGTTTCTGTTTGATCATGGCGCCCCACATCTTCTGCAGCGTCGAGTCGTCTTCTTCCTCCACCTCCACCTCTTCTCCCTCCTCTCCGTCGCCTCGACTCCTTCTGCTGCTGCTACTGGCTGTGGCGTCGCTGGAGTTCTTCCTTCCCGATGAGGTGAAGAGGCCAGGTGAGCGGCTTGTTGTTCGGCGTTCCTTACGTGCAGAGCTGCCATCGTCGTCAGCTGATCCGAGTCTGCTCCAGAGCCCGCCTACAGGAAGTGACGGGTTTAAAAACATCAGATTAGAATGGAACCTGAGACAAGAGAATCAACAAGTCACGAGTCACAAGTTCCTTCATGATCCTTAGGGCTCAAGATTATTGGGGAAAAACTGATATAGATTCTCAGAGGATGAAACGGGGCCGTGCTGTGCGATTGGACAGCTTTTGAAGTGCCGTTTAGAATGACGTCATATGGTGGTCTACGTCATTGTGTGAACGCGGTTACGTTCACATCTCCCGCACTCGGGTACGCATGAAACATGCTTGAGACCACCCCTTCAAGCAGTGTAGAAAAGGCCCCAAAGTTACATGTTAAGGTTTTTGCTTTATGTTAAAATAGTGTTTGATTCCTGGTCAGTTTAATGTGATGATATTGTGCTCAATAGGGGAGAGGTGTCACCTGCTGGTCATATAACAAATTACATCATGTAGTAATGAGCAGTGTGCATCAGTCGATGACAGATGAGCCATCAGTGTGCAGAGTAATCACTTCATAAGTTGGTTGTGCATGAATGAAAAGAGTGAGTACCTGAAGTCTTACATGTGACATTGTGTGTTCTTTAAGGCAGAGCCGGAGTTTAGAGCTTAGATGTTCGGTGTATTCTAGATATGCTAATTAGCTGACATCACGGCCCCGACATGCTCGCTATCTGTCCCCCTGGCTTAGTTGGAGCCACATAGTAGTTGAAGAAGAGTCATGTCGAATTCATTACATGTTTGTGCTTAGCCTACCTAGTGCTAATTCTTTCCCGTGTTAATATTAGTGTTATTTTAGTTGCCTGTTAGTTACAAGGTTTGCTAACTGTGTTGCTCTTTGCACGAGGAGGAAAGTTTGATGTCCGTGCTTCACAATAAAAAAAATGTTTTTACAGGGGAATGATTGTATGACTGTTAAGCCTACGATAGCCTTTCTGTGTTTAATACTTTAGGTTAAAGAGACATGTAGCCTACCTTTATTTATTTATATGTTTTGTATGTTATTATAGAGGTAAGATGAAGCATTCAGATGTGTTCCTTAAGTATATATTCTGCTATTCTTTTCTTATAGAAAACCACAACAAGACCCAATACTCTGTCATATTGAATGGCCACTGAGATGCCTGTATTTTGTTTCACTACAAGAGAAGAAGTAAACAGCCATTCAACCAATTCTGCACTCTTGTTATTCATATTCTGGAATAAGGCCTGAAGTGGTGTTCTGGCCGACACATCTGAGTAAATCCAGTGAAAAGCAAAAGACTAGTGTCCCAACTGAGTTTAGTTTTATTATCTTCATTACAAGCAGACTCGGGCTCAGTACCTGAGTACAGTAGGTTTGTGTTTAAATTAACCAGACTTTGAGGTGTTTTGGATACGGGCCCGGGTCCCTAATGTGAAATCCCTCTGGATCATGAACCACACAGAAATAAAGACTTCTTAGAAAGAGGGAAACCCCAGGTGTTCTGTTCAGTCTCCTCTGTACCTGTCTTTCTGTCTTTGGAGGAGTTGGCGAACAGGTTTCTGCTGTCTTGGCTGACCACGCCTAGTCTGCGATGCACGTCTCTGATTGGCTCTCTGGCTGGGGGGGTGTCTCTGGGGGAGACAGGGGAGGGGGAGCGGCGTCTGTCGGGGGAGTACCGTCTTTTCCCCAACCGCTGCCGCACATCTGCATAGAGAGCCCATTTAAAGTGTGTGTGTTTTTATTACATCAAACAAGTACAACACCTGGATTCAAACAGCTCACCTGTCTTTCCGCTGGGGGCCACAGGGGGGGGCTGTCTGTGCTGAGAGAGGCCCTGTCTCTTCTCCTCCAGCAGCTGACGGACGTCCATCACTTTGGGCGGCGATGTGGATTTGGGCCGGCTCTGTGACCCCGACGCCCCGACCCTGTTCCTGCTCGGCAACAGAAACACAACAGAGGGAATTACAGAGAATATTTTATCAGCTGATCATCACAGAATTTAATGTATGACTTCATACGAGGGCTCCTGTAATCTTCAACACGGCTCTCATTCTAACTGTGGCGTCTACAGCCTCGTTTCCACAACGGGCTCCGGTTTGGATCAG